TATTTATCAACAGTATTTACCTTATTCAATAGCTGTAGAGTTAAATTTTTGAAATTGGGAATGTGAGGAGGGTGTGGGATCATTTGATACATTGGCTGCCATGTAAGACAGCAGTGTCTGCAGAACATTTTTCTTGCTGCCATGGCAGTCATCTTTGTCACTGCACACCTTTTATCTTTCTGCCACAGAGAATGGTGAAGTCCGCTGTTTAATGCTTGGGCTACATTTCCATGCTGCCACCTTGCATCTCCTGGTTGTGGTTTATGGGAGCGCCCGGTAATGTTGTTGAGTACTACAGTGTTCATCAGCATCTGAAATGGTTCACAGAGTATTAAATTTATGTGTGTGTGAGCATATCCTGAGACAGAAATATATAAACTGTCATGGCCTAGGACAAAATATGTAAGGGTATTATGATGGCAGTCAGCATGTTTATCATCCTCATTGGCACAGCAGCCCTTTTTGAGCCATAACTTTCCACAGAAGATTCTGCCAGATTCTTTGGATTTTGCGACGGTAATTTTTTTTACATAACAAGGTCATCGTCCTTTCATGCAACCCCCAACCTGGAGGACAGGTCCGCGTATTTATATCCCCCAATGACAGGGTGGCCCAGTTATGCCCCCACACACCTAATTCCCTTTTTGTCTCCTGCAACTCACAGGGCTTCTATGGAGGTATTCTAACCCACCTCCACACAAGGAAGTCAGTGTCTTAGGATTTCATGAATGTTTTGGTAATTTCTCCTTACATCTTTTTAAACGTAAGATATTTTCTTGCAGGACATGAACCATACCAACAGGTATGGTATCATCCGTGGTCTACAGTTTGCATCTTTCATTGTGCAGTACTTTGGGTTTGTGCTGGATCTCTCAGTCCTTGGGTTGGAGCGAGCCTCTGAAATGGCTGGTCCTCCACATTTGCCAAATGACTTCCTTAGATTCCAGGATGTTGCAACAGAAGTTGCACGTCCCATCAGACTCTTCTGTCACGTGGGCAGAGTTCACATATTTTTCAGGTAACAGTGGATCTAAAAATATACTTCATACAGACATTTGGTAACTGCTTTCTCTGCATACAGTTATAGTGGAATTAAATTAAATTAACTCAATTTTCTAGTGTTGCAATGTTTTTAGTTTTGCTCGTTCGAAGGAATTCATGTATTTATCTAATCGATTAGATGCCAAAAGGAAACTTCCTGTAATTCTATAGATATTGTTCAGCATGGACTGTATAGTGTTACAGATTCAGAGGGGTGCATGCTAAAGTTATGGGAAAGAAACAGAGTGGTTCCGTCATCATGTCTTTCTTCTTGCATTTCCAGTGATAATTTGGAAGAACATGCCTGATAGCTTCACCATGTATGTCCACATGTGACTCCCCCAAGAACTACTACTGACACAGATGAAATTTGATATTAAGAAGTTTTTCCAAATTTTTATCAGCCCGTTTTAATTTTTGCTAAAATTTTAAAACAATAATGGGCCCTTAACATGAAGATGTCAGGTGTTCCTGCATGTAATATTTCTGGACATTATTCATTATCGTAATTTTTATGTGAAATTCTGTTTCAGAATCTGGACTGTTCCATCCTCAAGTATAGGTATACACTGTTGGGCCCAGTCAGTAGTTAGTCCTTATCTCTGCAAACTGGAACTAGCTCTGCTGATTTGGTATAACGGAAGGTGTGTTTTACTGGAGGACAGAAATAGAGTCCCCTTTTCAAAATATTTGTTTCAGATAAAAAGTAAGGATGTGCAGATAATTTACCATTGTGTTAATACACCATATGCATGAAATTNGTGGTATGACTCACGGCAAATTGCAGCCGCGGCGCGCACTTGATTGTACGCACTGTATATTTCACATGCTAAATATTTATTGGTGCAAGAAATGTTTCAGACAGACACTGAGAAAAACGAACTGGACATTTTACGCCTTGTTGTGGTTTTCAGGAAATTAAGCAAAATGTGGCTTACATGGTGTGAACGTTAGGCCATATGTACATTTCCTAACTTATTTTATTACTGTATTGAATTAAATGGTTTATTTAAGGACATTTGGATGCACAGGTTTACTGCTGAGGAGGGAGGAGATTTGATTGAGAGGTACCTGAAAGAGCATCTGGGCCCAAACATTGAAAACACAGTTGGACACAACAACAAGAAATTTCGGCCACAAGGTGTGAGAATGAGGCTCATGAAGCATGATGTGAATCTGTGACTAGAAAAGAATTATCCAGGGCTTGTGGAAGAGTACGTGGTGTGTCCAAAAAGAAACCGAACTTTCTTTTTAAAACATTTATTAATAAGCTTAAAACTTAATAAGACTTGTCTCCTTCAAAGTACCCTCTTCCAATGTCTATACACCGCTTCCAACGTTTTTTCCAGTTCTGGAACGCATTTTTTTTTTGGGATAGTGCGTAGGTCCCATAGTGAATTTCTTCTACCTCTTATATCGTCTGAAATCGACCTTTCAGAGTGGATTTCAACTTTGGGAACAAAAATGAAAGTCTGCAGAGGCCAGATCTGGAGAGTAGGGCGGTTGGGGACGAGTCATCTCGTGCTTCGCCAAAAATTCATGGATGAGGAGCGACGTGTGAGCAGGTGCATGTCATGGTGCAGCATCCAGGTCTTGTTCCTCCACCACTGAGGCCTTTTCCTTCATTCTGCCTGCCTCAAACGCTTCATGACCGCCAGGTAAAAGCGTCCATTGTCTGACCATGTGAAACAAACTCATGATGAACGACGCCCTTCCCATAAGAAATGATCAACAACACCTTCACATTTGATCGACTCTGACATGCTTTTTTTTAGTCGCAGCGTCGATTTTCCCACCCACTGCGATGATTGAGCTTTTGCTTCGATATTGTACCCGTACACTCACGTTTCATCACCTGTTATGGCATTTTTTAGAAAGTTTTCATCAGCACTTGAACGATCAAACAGCTCCTAACTCACTGTGACATGGTTCACTTTTTACTCATCAATCAAAAGACGCACAAATTTTGCAGCAACACAAATTTCCAGTTATTCGGTAAAAATTGTGTGGCACAAACTTTTACTGATGCCTACTTCTTCAGAAACTTCTCGGACAGTTAGGCGGCGATTTTCATCGAATCACAGCACGCACTTCCTCAACATGATCATCGTCCGTTGATGTGTAAGACCGTCCTGGTTTGGGATCGTCTTTGGTGGGCGTTCTGCCTGATTTGAAATGGTACCATTTGTAACATTCTGTATGGCTTGAACATCTGAAAAGTCTCTGTAAATGTTTTTGCCATTTTGAAACAGAATTTCAAGCAAAAATGTTGCTCTTCAATGTCCTTCGTGTTTCAACTTGCAAACATCGCAAAAGGCACAGGAGAGAGGTTCATTCTACTGCATGTACTCGATCACCGCTCCTTAGCAAGCTGGAACGAAGTTTTCCTTGTGAGGTTCACTCTGCTTATTTCTTGCCTGGCTTCTTCTTGATGCTAATGAAATCAGTACGTCCCTCCGAAACTTCGGCGTACGGCATCACATGTACACTAAATTACTTATATTTCTGTGAGCAGTATCCGGGGAGAACGCGGTAACGTAGTTGGTTGAGGCACTATGCAACAAGTCGGTATGTCGCTGGTTCGATTCTCGGTGAGGTCATTGGATTTATTTCAGTTGACCTAATTCTTCCAGCCACACTACTCGTATGGTCCTGGGGTCGACTCAGCCTCTAAAGGGGCCCATACACGTACGTGTCTGGCTTGCGAGTCCTGCTCGGCGAGCTTGACGCGGGATCCGGGATCTGATTAATTAAAGTGTTTGGACTCTTCACTCCGGCCGTTAAGGGGCCGCCACACGGACGAGTTTGGCTCATTGGAACCCGAGCCGAGTCGGGCTTGCAAGCCAGAATCGTATGTGTATTGGCCCCCAAGGGTTCCAATGAGCCAAACTCGTCCGTGTGTGGGTCGCCACGATCACACGTGTGTGGTGAAATTAATCCAAGCCCGGCTCCTCGCCGAGCCGGACTCGTACGTGTATGGGCCGCCTTAACAGAAATAAATACCAGGAATCTTCCAGGGGGCAAAGGGCGGCCGGCCGAGCGCGTAAGGCCCCCCATACACACACAGTTTGGCCTTCCGATCGACCTTACAGGCAAAACTGTGACAGTTTACCCCCTCCCGTTCCTTCCCCATACACGAGCAGATAAACCGGCAGGCTTCATGCCACAATCACGGTCTTCCAGCCTATAATGTTGAGTCACACACGTCACGTGCTACGGACCTGCAGGCAGAACTGACGGACTGACGGGTTTCCCACAGGGCAACAGTCCAAACGATTGGCCGGCCAGCCGCACCACACACGTCAGTTTTGCCTTTCAGTCTTCAACTGTGCAGGCCGAACTGGAGGCCAAACTGTGTGTGTATGGGGGCCCTAAGGCTGAAAAACTTCACCGCCATCTGTGAATCGATTGCCTAGAAAATGTAGGAGCCTCGACGTCTCAAAATCATGTTGTCCTCCAAGGCCTGTTACAGGGATAGCTTTACCTTTTTTGTCTGTGAGTATTAGCTATTGCCCTTAAAGTCTTCTCTTTAGGGCCAGAGTGTTGTACTGTTGTCTTCCTGCAGAATTAGTTGCTGATCAAGCTGAAATCGGATCGAGTGTTTCTCCAGTCACGGTGCAGTGACACGAGTCAGCAGTTTCCTCAAGTAACTATCGAACTGTTGCACAAGCACCGGAATAGCTGTGCAGTTTGCTTTCGGTCGGTTATTTGCATGTATCTTGCCCAATGTTTTAGTTCTTAAAAGATGTTATAATGCTAGCCAATATATGCATTTTAGTTTTCCTTTATTTACAGGGTTTTTCTTCCCTGAATGAAACGTTATGTTAAAGTTGTCACCTAACCGAACGAATACACTTCAGGGAATATTTTGTAACTTCATGCCGGTGGTCATTTAACAAGCAGCTGGGTTTGTTCAAATGAACGTGTATGCTAGGGTAATTTGTAATTTGAATGTTTACAGTACCTAAATGGAGCGGGCGGGGCGGAAAGGCGGTGCAGGTGTTGCGTTGAATGCGAATGTGGTCGGTGCTTTATGATAATGTGAGTTGCAGGTGTTATTTTACTGTACATTTGTTAATAATGGCGGCTATAATGCCGGATTCTGACAGTGAAGATGAGTTGCCGCCAGGCTGGGAGGAGAGGGCGACAGTGGATGGCAGCGTGTATTATGTTAAGTAGGTACAACAGATGATTCTTTTATGACCAGTCCCAATGGCTGCATGCGAGAAAGAATAGTCATTACCAGAGCCCGGATTTTGATGACATGTCATCTTTTTTTCCTTGTATCGTATGCGATGCTCTTAAAAATATAAATCTCGGATATGAGCTGGTAATTTTTTGTCATATTTTTCATTTTGGAGGTAATTTTTTGGACTTTAGGTTATTTCTTGTCATTTTTGGCCATTTTAGGGGATTTTTCTTCATGTTTTCTGAAATTTGAATAATATGGAAGCTAAGTGTTCTTTCTCTTTCCCCTTTCGGTCATTTTTTAAATATTTTCAGGTCATCAAAATCCGGGCGCTGGTCATCACCAATATTGAAGGTTGAGTTGTTCCAACTTCTTAACGAAATGGCAGTGCAAGATGTAAAATTTATTGTAAAAGCTGCTAGATTTTGCGTGAATGGATTTATCATTAATTAACTGATCCAAATGAGCCTGCTTACTGAAGACTTGTTAGAAACATTGCACTGTTTGGGAAGTATGACTTAATCAATTTACTTCAAATTGAAATTCACTATTGAGAACTGATTAGGCGACTTAATTATGTTTGTGTTAGGCATAGTAATAGAAAGTAATTTGTTAACTGGTTCAGTAAGTTCACCCACCACATAACTTATTGTAGCATCTTGTTGCACTTTTCACTTAGCATTTATTGTTCCTGAACAAGACATGGAACAAAACACACAGTAAGGAAGAACACAACGCACCAACTCCAAGAAACAAGCACATCGAAGGGATGTGCATATGTATTAACAGAAGTCAACAGTCTCCTCATCAAAAAGATTTTAACACCTGATAATGGCCATATTGGCTGAAACATGTAGTGAACTTTTAAACTTTTAAAGTTAGTAAGTTTTGTGGTATGTGGTGTTGCATGTAGGACTGTGAATAATAGACACTAACCACATAACTTACTGTGAAGAGATCAATCTTCTGTCATAATACGAGTAGTATCCACTAAATTTAAACTGTAATCATCAGTGTATTGATAACCATGTAGTATTGTAGATGGGTAGCAGTATTTGGAGGAATGTGTTAGTTCCATCATCAGGGTCATAGTAAGTGTGTTAAGGATGTAATCATATGTAGGCAGGTGGGCCACTAGATCTATAGGAGGGGAAGATAAGATGGCAGTCTGACTGGGGCTAGTAGGAATGGTAAGCAGGAACTGCAAAAGCAGACAACAAACTTCAATGAGTATGTCACAGGAAGGTTATGGAATCATGAGCTCCAAGTTCCATATTCTCTGCCCCTCACAATGATCTGGTGACAAACTGTGTAACTGCTTGTATAGTGTGGCTGCATCCTCACCTCACCCACTTTGAACCTGAAGATCGAAGCAGCGTGTCACTCTTAAACAGAGAGTTAGAATAGCTCAGTCAATATAATGACAGGCTACAGACTGGACAGCCAGGGTTTGACTCATGACAGGGACAAGATATTTTTCTCTTCACCATAACATCCATACTGGCTCTGGAGCCCACCCAGCCTTCTGTGCAGTGGATGCCTGAAACTGTTTCCCTGGGAGTAAAGTGTCTGGGGCGTGAAGCTGACCACTCACCTGTCTACTGCCAAGGTCAAGAATGGTGGTACTATCCTGTCATTCCCGCATGTGTCTTCGTGGCACACTGCTTAATTAATTAGGCAGAGTGACAACTTTACATTTCCCTTTACATCGCTCAGAGAGATTGGTATCCATATACGAGAAGACTACATAGTGTGACATTCCAAAAGACCACAGTCAGAACATTCACCACCATTAAAACCTGAAACCTGTATGTTCATTAAATTATCAAGCTATTTAAAAATGCAGAATGTATATTGGCTACATCACAGTTTTCTTTTTCAGTCATGCAACCAAAGGAACCCAGTGGACACATCCTCGGACTGGCAAGAAGAAGGTTGTGTCAGGAGGTGGGGAATCTGTATAATAATCAAGGCTGATTATACCTGCTTCCGGTGAAGAAGTGTTGGTTGGTTACATTAACTTTAAATATGGGAAGTATGTGGATTGGTTGCAGTGTCATGGTGGAAGCTGTGACATTGGGAGCACTCAGCACTTCTCCTCACAGGCCAGAAAGTTAATGTAGCCACATAGTACTTCTATCAATACACAGACCACATGATCCGAAGTGGATATTGTCTGTAGACAAGTTCCAGACTTCCTGTGGCACATACGAGTAATTGAATCTTGTGAAGTATAATCTGCCCCTCTGTTACAGATACTTTTAGCCTACTTTCCTTGTTTTGAAAAAATGAAAATGGGATTTTGAGATCACCCTGCTATGTGTGTATGTGTATCCCCCACCCAAAAAAATTTTCGAATTCATGAACCAATTTTTATGGAACTTGGTATGTATATCATGGCGCATGAGCCCATCTTATCTGTGTAATTCATAAATCCCTTCCTTCGATAATACCAGCACTGCAGCCTCTGAAATTGTTTTATTAACTTCGTTATGCAAACATACTAAAGTTTTCTTTGTGCTTGTTATATCAGATACTCAAATTAAATGTACAGTGAAAGGAAAATAGGCTATAATTCTTAGCAGAACTTGTCTGTTCAGAATTTCACTCTTACAGGAAGTATAAAACATGATCGTAAAATTCACTATGTAAGCATTTAGTTTGCATGTGCATAAATACACAATAAGTAGCTTTTATATTTTCACAGATGCAATAGAATAACATTTTCTTCAAAATAAAATTTCTTAAGAAGTTACCATTTGTTAAGATATCTGGATCATGTGTATTCATCTGTGGCTTAGCAAGGTGTGTAGCTGGCTGATGGTTAGCCTGAGCTTGTGCATCAGTGACAAAGGCAGATGGCTGCTGGTAAGGTTGCTGTTCCCATCTTATTTTAGATTTTTCATTTTACTCCTTTTAGAGGGTGGCCCCAAACCCAGCCCCCAAACTGGAGGACCACTGCTTCTTGACTGCTTACAATTGCTTATTATATTAGCCACTATTATGCATACCTTGAGGCTATTTTCTGTATCTACAATCTGAGGACATACCATGCCTTGGTAACAGTGTACCCACATAATGTCCTTTTCATATACAAACTGTATTTATGATAGATTTGGGGTTCTCATGGCGAAGACAGAAGAGTTCTGCTCTCTGGGTTGTGAAACCATGAGGTCAGGTAGAAATTCACTGATGTTTTGGAGTAATATCCTGCCTCCGTCTTCACAGGGAAAATATAAGCCAAGCAATCAGCAAGAATGAAGTAGTATGAGATGCTCTGAATTCTGCGTTTCTTGGCTTATGCTTTTTGCCCTGAAGATGGTGACATTTTTTCCTCTGAAACATCACTGAACTTCTACTGGACTATGTAAAATCACACCCAAAAATATGCTTTTATGATTTATATATTTGTACTGAATTGACAGACTTACCTTTTGGCTGGGAGAAGTGTGTGTCAGAAGACGGGAAGGTCTTCTATGTGGATCATGCCAACCGCCGAACAACTTACAGTGATCCCCGCCTGGCATTTGCCACCGAAGAGAAGGAACATGCACAGGACTTTCGTCAGAGGTTTGATGGTTCTACGATGGCCCTACAGGTGCTGCATGGTCGCGACCTGGCAGGCAAGGTGGCAGTCGTAACAGGGTCAAACACAGGCATAGGTGTGTTAGATGAAGGCTTACCAACTTGCACTCATTTAGGATCACTGGGCTTCTAGGTTTTCTCCATCATCTGATATTCCAAACAGAGCACAGCACTTCAGAAATTGGATGTCTCTGTTCTGTGATGAAAAGATTGAAAGGCACCTATGCTATGTCTGAAACATCTTTCAGGTTGCATCATTATCAAGTTGTAATTATATTGTTAGAAAGTTTCTAAATTCTACTTTCAGTATAATGGACACCAGAATCTCCATACCAGAAATCTCGCTGAACTCACGACTTTTCTTCCTTAACACTGCGTGCTCAGAAGTTTGACATACCCTCGAGATGTTTTGGATAGATGGTATTAAAGTTGAGAAACATTCAATGATATGTGTAATATACTGCTACGAGAACCCTTTAGGATTAATGTGCATTGGATTTTTTTAATTTACCTGATCCTTCCAGCCGCAATATGGCCCTGGGGTCGACTCAGCCTCTAAGAGAAATGAGTACCAGGAACATTTCGGGGGGTAAAGGGTGGCCGGCATGTAAGGCTGACAACTTTTGGCTGTATTATGTCATTTGTGTTGATTGGTACTTCCCTTATTGGCATGGATTGAATGGAACAGACACTTAGTAAATGATGCAGCACAAAGAAAGAGGGTGAAAGGAATTTAAAAAACAAAACCAGTGTATTGCCAGAAATAATATTAAAATATATAGTATAAGAACAGTTAAAAACCAAGAAGTGATTGCTGTTACAAAATTAACCAGCAGAACGTAAGCTGTGGCTATCAATGTGAAACCAACATCAGATGCCTGTAGTCCATTTCAAACTAACATTCGAGGAATAGACACAGTATAGGACAACTGGTGTCCTCCAATATGTGAGTACTCATCTGTTAGGCAACATGATGTCATTCCAGAAGACTGTAGTCTTAACCCTTTGCAGTCGTCGCATTTGGAAACATTTCTGCAGCCAGGTCACCAAGGGATTTTAATTGCCCACAGAGCCACTAAGCAAGCTGTTTAGCTCAAAAAGTTTGTACAACAAGAGCATAAAGTGAAAAAGCAAAACGTATACTTACCACCACAATGCAAGAAGACATATTCTCTGCCTTGTAGTGGTGTATGACAATCAAGTGTGGAGAGAGGTTGTAGTTAGTGTCCATTGTTTATTTTCCATCAATATTGCAACACTCTTCTGTTCACCTCTCAATTTCAGTTCAACATTTTACACTTCAACACTACATGTTTCGGCCCCAAACGGCCATCTTCAAGTGTTTTTATGTTACAAATATTTTACTAAAACTGTGTTAAAAAACTGCTACACTGTTTTGATTCATGTTAAAATCACACACTGTAGTCTTCTTTTTAAGTAAAATGAGATAAAATCCTTTAAAGTTCCTATTGCATATTATTTCACCTCACACAGGGTGTCATCATTTTCGTAAATGTATCACGGTGTTTTTTCGGTAGCTTGCCCCTCACATTCATGGCCTACTTTCGGTTTTTGACTGCCATATGTTCCTGGTTTATGTGTTTCCTGTACAGTGTGTGGTGTTGTCTTTACTACTTCACGTCTGGGATATAATACAGCATGTGGCAGATTATTATCAACGTTTTGGAAGACTGAACTGCTTCCATCTTTGCATTGAAAGAGTAACAAGATATCTTGGCTTCCTTGAATCAGAGGGCTTCATATTTGCAGATATTGCATAGATTAGCCTCCACATGGACTTTTCATGTCATTGACTCTCAGAACCCCCTTCTGCCTCAGAGATGAGGCAGTACATTCCTGGAACACATTAATAATAATCTACCAGACTATGTGCCATCGCACTCACAAAGACAGTTATCTTCAGCATATAATAATATTAAAGTTTCTCTTGTGGCTGATCCAAGTGAAATAAATGGGGATAATCTGAACAATATAAGACATGAAACCAGCAGGCATTTCAGGAATAAAGAATATCTGAAAGACAAAATTGATGAGCTTGCAATGAACAGTAAAAACAAGAACATTAGGAACCTGTATAGAGGAATAAATGACTTTAAGAGGGGTTACCAACCTAGAAGTAACTTAGTGAAGGATGAGAATGGTGATCTACTTGCAGATTCCCACAGCATTTTGAATAGGTGGAAGAACTGCTTCTCTCAGTTATTGAATGTACATAGGGTCAGTGATGTTAGACAGATAGAAGTATGGCTGAGCGATTAGTACCTGATCCTAGCCCTTTTGAGGTTGAAAGTGCTATCACAAAATTTGAAAGGTATAAATTGCCAGGTAATGATCAAATTCTGGCAGAACTTATTCAAGCAGAAGGTGAAATAGTGCATTCTAAGATCCATAAGCTTCTTATATTTGGCATAAGGAAAAATTATAAGGTAAACATTTGTCTGATAAATTTCCTATCCAGAATGGTCTAAAACAAGGAGATGCTTTATTGCCACTCCTTTCCAACTTTGCTTTAGAATATGCCATTAGGAAGGTCCAGGGAAACCCGGTGGGACTGAAACTAAACAAGACACATCAGCTGTTGGTCTGTGCTGATGATGTGAATCTACTGGGTGATAATATAGATACCATAAAGAAAAACGCACAAACTTTAATTGACACAAGTAAGGAGGTTGGTCTAGAACTAAACACAGAGAAAACTAAGTATATATTGCNTTCAAAAGAGTGTGCATTTTTCATCCATTAGAATATTTAATAACTTGCCATACAATATATATTCTTTGAAAGACAATATTAATACTTTTAAACGGCTAAAAGATTATCTTATTTTAAATGCATTTTATTCGGTAGATGAATACATGGCATACAGGCAAGCATAATACATTATTGTTGTCTTTCCAAGATTATGTATTATCTAGATTTGTTATATGACTGCTTTTTATTTTATTATTGTATTTTTCATTTTATAATTCTTGAATATTTTAATTGTTGAGACTAGATTGCATTTTGCAATGTCATTTTGCTGACGAATTCAATATCCGGTCCGGTTTCCGGACAATGGATCTGTGAAATTATGTATCTATGTATGTATGTATGTCTCATCACCAACATGCAGGGCGAAATCATGACATAAAGATGGGAAACAGATGTTCTGAAAACTTGGCACAGTTCAGATATTTTGGAATGACAATAACAAACCAAAACCTGATTCAGGAGGAAATAAGAGGAGATTGAAGTCTGGTAATGCTTGCTACCATTTAGTCCAGAACCTTTTGTCTTCTTGTCTACTGTCCAAAAAAAAGTAAAAATTCAAATATACAAAACTATAATTTTGCCTGTGGTTCTGTATGGATGTGAGAATTGGTCTCTGACATTTGAAGGTGGTACATAGACTGAGGGTGTTGAGGAGAATATTTGGACCAAAGAGAGATGAAGTGACAGGAGGCTGGATAAAACTGCACAGTGAGGAGCTTCATAACTTGTACTATTCTCCAAGTATAAGTAGAATGATCAAGTCAAGAAGAATGAGGTGGGCAGGGCATGTAACATGAATGGGGGAGAAGAGGAATGCATGTAGGATGTTTGTGGGAAAGCCAGAAGGGAAGAGACCACTGGGAAGAGCAAGACATAGGTGGACAAACGATATTAAAAGGGATCTTAGAGAGATAGGATGGTATGGATTGGAATGATCTGGCTCAGGATAGGGACCAGTGGAGGGCTCTTGTGAACACAGTAATGAACCTTCAGGTTCCATATAATGCTGGGAAATTCTTGGGTAGCTGCAGAGCTAGTGGCTCATCAAGAAGGCCTCTGCTCCATGAGTAAGTAAGTAAGTAAGTAAGTAAGTTGTGGCTGTGATGTGAATGTTTAATATAAGTTTGAATTTTTCTTTTCAGGATTTGAGACTGCACGTTCTCTGGCACTGCATGGTTGCATTGTGGTGTTTGCATGCCGAGATCTCAACAGAACTCGGGCAGCCATTGGCAAAATCAAAGAGGAGAGGCCAAATGCTACATGTGATATAATTGAGTTGGACCTTGCAAGGCTACATAGTGTTACAAAATTTGCTGCAAACTTCAAGCTTAGATACAAGTGAGGTATCCATCAGTATGCATCTGTAGGAATATCTTGTGTTGTCCAGAAATATGAGTGTTGTATAATTCTGCTCTTACCATTCCAAGACTCACTCAGACACTGAAATTGTTGCCTGTCTTCTGATTCAGGAAGCAGAGGGAAGTGTGAGCAGATGAGTGAGCAAGAGGAATGATTTTATTTCTTGCATTCAGAGCAACTTTTCAAATCGAGTGCATTTTTTACTTCGTCTTTTTTATCTTGAAACTTTAACAATGCAGAGGTCTGTGAAACGCTTTCCAAATTCAGTTATTTTTGTGTATCTTCTCTTTTCTTTCCTCTCTCTTCTTCGCCAACCCATCTTTCTCCTCCTTCACAATCTCTTCTCTTTTGCATTTTTTGGTACTGCCAAGTTGTCTGCCACATTAGCACGACCAGCCTTAGAAGTTTATTTGTAAAAAACAAGACCAAGAACATAACCTCAGAATTTCCATCGAAGCCCACAAGATTATTCTTTACATTTTGTTTTCAAAGCATTAGGCTTTTGTTTGTAAAAATAGACTTATGTAGTTGGCACCAATAACTTGGTGGACAGCATGGTGGTAACTTTTAAAGCTTCTTGGGTTGAGTAACCTGCTCATACTTAAGTACCCATCTTTCAGTTTTAAGCTTTACTGATTTTCTTACATGTTCCTATTGGCATATTCAGTAGTCTTGGGTCAAAGAAATGGTGATAAATCACTGCCATATTTACCAATGTAGACCTTAGTATACATGTAGTTTAAACATGTTTTATTTTGTTTGTAGTTTATGTAATGACACTGTTAGTAAGACTGTAGAGGGCTAAATGACGATGGTAGTGAATATTAGAAAGGTCACAGAAGGAAACATGATCTAATTTAAGATACTATCTTGGCATTTGCTTAAAAGAACAGCAAAATCACAGGAACTTCCATCAGGATAGTCTGTCCCCTAGCTGATATTCAAACTGAATACAACTTGGCATGAACTATCTTGCTTGGTCACAGTTTGTTTCATTTACCTTAATTAATCTCAGACCCAGTGAGAATGTTATGCGTTTGAATCATGGTCCATAAATAGATGATGTACTGTTCTATTTTACCCCCACTTTTCTCCTATTTTCTCCTGTTACAGTCTGTAATAATATACTGGGATGGTTTAGCAGGTATGCAGGGGCACGCGGTAGTGTAGTGGTTAAGGCACTATGCTACAAGCTGGAAGGTCATGGGTTCAAGTCCCAATGAGGTCATTGGATTTTTTCAATTAACCTAATCCTTCCAGCCGCACTGGGCCCTGGGGTTTGGAATTAATTAAATAATTTTCCTGGGGAGTAAAGCACGGCCTGCACGTAAGGCTGACAACCTTACTGCCAAGGTAATGTGGGACCCTTAATGTCTCACAACCCTATGGGCCTTCACGGCTTGTTACAGGGATAGCTTTACTTTTCCTTTCTTTAGCAGGTATGCTGAAGATTTCATATTGTGCTGCAAGTAGTATATGATTTGTGGTGCTCAACTAAAAAGTTAATTTTATGCAATATCTTTGTAATGATGATAACATTATACCTTAGTTCTGTGGAACATAGTCCTTGATAAGCTAATAATCATTCAGCTAGACAGGGAATTTCCAATCATTTTTTACCCTGAAGGCTCATTACATCCCATGTGGAGGAGGGTGCTTAGAATACCTCCACCATAGTAGCCCTGTGAGTTGTAAAAGGTGTTGAAATGGAACACAGTGCCTGGGGTTATAACTGGGCCATCCTGTCACTAGGGGACATATACAGAGGCCTGGTTTTCCAGGTTGGGGTTGGATGCAGGGCTGGTGACCTTGCAGCATAAAAAAATTACTGTTGCAAAATTCAGCGAAGTGAAAACTGGATTATCTCATTCACAGCAGAATAGACAAGTGTGGCAGAATTTCTAAGGAAGACCATGGCTCAAAAAGGGCAATTGGTGGTGGTGGGGGCTGGCTCATTATTATGTTAACAAGAGTCCACCAGTAGTTTAGTCAGGATAAAATTGTGTCTGTTAGAAGTATCATCATGAAACAGTTGTTACATTATATTGTTTTGGTAAGTGAATTATCAGGGATGACCACATGTGCTTGCTTGCTACTGGCACACAAATGAAAACTGTGAGCAGTGGAGAAAGTACTGTCTCGTATCCTGGTAACACAACAAGAATTTAATGGGTTTTGTATTAGATGAATCGATTTATTGGACAATTTCACCAGGCAGAACTACAGATAATTATAACACACTCAAATTACTTTAACTAAGGTCTTTGAAGTCTGCTTGCTAGAATGATGTTTGCCTCTTGAAAGCATGCTAGTTCGCTTCTGGCTTTACTTCTGCCTTCCTCTGACTTCTCACTTCTTGCTTCTGGCTCCTGTCTTCTGAACTGACTTCCATTTATACCTGCTAGGCAGCTGAAGTAGCAGACACCTTGAACAGTTTTGGTTTTCGTTTCTTTAGTAACCGTCTGCCTATGTACGCGTTGTCATGTACAATTGTCACCCAGACAACAATGCATTCACTGCTCTTATTGCAGCAGAAATGTGACTACTGAGCCGTTGTCTAGCAGTGGATGCCTTTCTGACTCAGATATTCTGGCTTTTATGTGGCATGTCACAATACTGTGCCATATGTAACTAATTTTGTCCATGTTAAGTGGATCCTTCATCACAACAACATGGTACGTCCTCAGCTTGTAGATTTTAGCTGCATGTAGTATATATAATACTCAGTCACAAACACTTAGCAAGAGTAGTCTTTCAGATTTGGAACTCTACAGGCCGGAAGGTCATGGGCTTGATTGCTAATGAGGCCATTCAATTTTTCAATTGGCATAATATTTTCAGCTGCACTGTGGCCCTGGGGGCATCTTAGCCTCTCCCAGAAATGAATACCAGGAATCATCCTGTGGGGGGGGGGTAAAGGGTGGCCAGCCAGCATATAAGGCTGACACCCACACCACCATCTGTGAGCTGATTGTCTAGAAAATGTGGAGCCTTGATGTCACACAACCTTATGGGATTCCATGGCCTGATACAGGGATAGTTTTACCTTAATGAGTTGCTGACAGAGCCTTGCTGTAAGGTTATGAATTGTTACACAGGGTCTTAGAGACTGATCGATTAATGGGGACCACTGGCAGATTCTTGTGAATGTGCTACTGAACCTTCAGGTTCTGCAAAAAAAAGAAAGGGTAACAGTAAAGCTATCCCTGTAATGGGCCATGAAGGTCAATAGGGTTGTGAGACGTCGAGGCTCCCACATTTTCTCTAGACATTTGGCTCACAGATGGAGATAAGGTTGTCAGCCTTAGGTGCTGGTTGCCCTTTACCCACCAGGAGGATTCCTGGTACTCATTTCTGTTGGAGGCTGTGTCGACCCCAAGGACATAGTGCAGTTGGAAGGATTAGGTAAACTGAAAAAATCCACCACATCAGGACTCAAACCTATGACCTACCAGCTTGTAGCACAGTGCCTCAACCAGCAATGCTAACACGTGCCCCTTCAGGTTATGGCTATTTACTTCTCAAGAAGGACTGTTCACCATAAGGATATGAGATCTTTATGAGAAATTGCAAAAATACTTGATGAGTGACATTCCTATGTGATAACTGAACATTTATTTGTTTCTGAAAATTGTTCATGCTGTACAGAGATCAAGAAGAGAAATCGCGTGTTCACCCCATCCACATTTGTCTTGAGCTGTTACACTTCTTTCTTAAGCATACTTCCACATACTGTGTTTCCCTCCAGTCACCATTCTTCTCACTGGCATAGATAGCCATTTGATAAGGGCAGAGAGGGCTGGAGGGGTATACTACAGTAGAAGCCTGAAACATTGTCATCCCAGCCATCAGTGGTGGTTGTTTACAGGACCTTTATGTAATTAAATGTAAAGTACTTGGGAGTTAAGGTTCTCACAGTAATGACTATGAAGTGTAGTATTTCCATGATGTAACATGGAATCATGTGATGGAAGTCTCAACATTTCAGTGTCAGCTGCACTTACTTCTCAACCCTGAAGGTGGAGGTGATGTGGAATTGCACATACTCTTTAAATGGCAGAGTTAAGTAATGATACATGATGGTTCTGGTGTGCAGGAAACTGGACATACTGGTGTTAAATGCTGGTGTGTTTGGTCTGCCCTTCACTGTCACCCCTGATGGTTATGAAACTACATTCCAGGTGAATCACTTGAGTCACATGTACCTGACACTGCTTGTTGAACCTCTTTTGGGGCAGGGTTCAAGAGTTGTCATCGTTTCTTCAGAATCACATAGGTAAGTATGTGTTTGAATATATGGAACAAGTAATAGGAAACAAATGTGAATCTAATTTTCCTTTTTCTTTGAATTCCTACACAATTTAGTAGGGAACCAGGATAGCACAGTTGATATAGTATCTGGCTACAGACTGGATAGCAAAGGGGTTACAGTTCAAGTCCTGGTAAGGGCAGGATTTTTCTCCTCCCCATATCATCCAAACCAGTTGTAGAGCGCACACAGCATCATATCCAATGGGTACCAGGGGCTCTTTTCCTGGGTGGGGAGGAGTGGGAGCATGAAACTGACTACTCACCTCCAACTAGTGCCAAGGTCAAGAATATGTGGATATATTCTCTCACTCCCCCATATGTCTTCATGGCCTAGTGTGTAATTGGTTAAGAACAGGGACAACTTCACCTTTTACACCACGTAGTAATGGAGAAGTGTTTTGATGAAACAGACTGCATCCATCTTTGGGATAGAAGACTTCTGTCTGCAAACTTACTGCAACACAAAAGACTTCTACCCTGATGACTAAGACAGTGTGCTCTTCCAAAATGTCTGAAACCTTTTCTCTTATCATATGGCATAAAAATGAAAAAATCTAAGTGTGTATAAATTGTCAAATGCAACATCTTACAACCCTAAATCTAATTCTCACATCCGAGAATAATATTTACCGCTGTCATATCCCACATGCAGAAGCAGAGTTTTCTGTTGACCCATGTTGCGGCAAGCTGATGGAATAAAATCAAAGTTGAAAGTTACAAAAATATTCTGATGCATAGTGGTTGAGGTGCTATGCTACAAGTCGGAAGGTCGCGGGTTCAAGTCCCAATGAGGTCATTGGATTTTTTTCAGTTGATCTAATCCTTGCAGCTGCACTAGGCCCTGGCGTTTACTCAGCCTCTAACAGAAATGAGTAGCAGGAATTAATTAAATAAATTTCCTGGGAAGTAAAGCACGGTTGGCGCATAAGGCTGACAATCTTACTGCCATCTTTGAGCTGATTGTCTAGATAATGTGGGACCCTTAACATCTCACAACCCTATGGGCCTTCACGGCCTGGTACAGGGATAGCTTTACTTATTTTACTTATTTAGGAATATAATGCTCTTAA